TGAGATGACGGTCTACATTCTGTAGGTTAGAAGATCAGAAAGTCCTTTCCTCACATCCTGAACTTTAGCTCCTTCTACCAACAGACCAGATTTGATGGACCAAATTCCCCCACCCGTCACAGAACCTATGCACAGCCCAAATCTACTCTAGAGGGTTGGGAAACCTCTTGAATCTGACCTAGGGAGGCATCTATGGTGAGCTGCAGGGGATCAAAAGGTAGGGGAAACTCATTTTGCCACTGCATTTCCTAAGTTCTGTATGTTACTGTATTCTGCTATATCTGCTTCCAGTTTGTTCAGTGAAGCTGGAATGTCAAGGCAATGCAATATGCAAATATAAACTGCTGTATGAATAATTCTTTTGCATAAGCAGTTCACTGTCCTGCCTTGCTTTGCTTTTTTCATTCTTAATCCTGCAGGCTCTACTAAAGTGGGATCTATGACTCATTCAGTCATCTTTCTCAGATACTTGCTCTTCTGCCAACTGAGGTTTACCTTCTACTTGGTGGAATCTAATGACTAATAATAAGGGTAACCACCAAGCTCCCAGCTGAGATATGCAAACATCAAAAAAACAAACAATATCCAGTTTTACCATGTCATTGTTTTGAAGCCAGTAGAATTTGGCATACTTGCTAGTCGAATTGCATTGTAATTGCTTTGCTTAGCTCTGGTGATGTGAATAATCATAGGACGATAACTTCCTCAGCAAAGAATAGTACAAGTTTACACATATTGCATCATACTTACATTTTATTTTAGACCACCTAGGGTTTAAATTCTCGTCTGCAACCCAGAGCATACATTTTGTTTTCTGTAATTGCATATATATTTTCCTTGTGTGCCGAGTTAAGCAATAAATTGTGTTGCTCAGCCCTCAAGATAAACTAATAACATAGTCAAAATACTGCAATTGATTCAAGAATTTCGCATGTCCTTTTGGAAATCAGAGTTCAGTGAAAAGCTTGTCTAGGCTTCTCAGCCTATCTTAAATAACATGAAAGGGATGTGAAAAATCCTTAGTAACAAAAGAATTGACAGAAGCATAAGCTGAGCACTGGCAATTTAGAGTAGGATATCAAAAGTAGTTCACTTAGTATTGCATATGCTCCCCTTAGATGTTTCAGTTTCCCTTTGCATAGTGGCACCTCTTCTTCTGGCTGAACCTGCAGAGAAGTTAGTTTCAGATCAATCAGTTGTTCATATGAAGCTACAAATTCACCATTTTAAATTTAACTCACTAAAACCTGTCAGTAACAGGAAGAGGGGAAATAACATGGAGTCCTTGTTATTTTGAATACCGTATTTTTTGCTCTATAAGACTCACTCTTTTCCCCCTCAAAAGTAAGGGGAAATGTCTGTGCGTCTTATAGAGCGAATATGTGTGTGCAGTAAGTCTGTCAGATGTGCAGTCCATGGGGAAGTGATGGGGAATGTGCCTGTGATTATGTGCCCATTTGATCCAGAATATTTTTTTCTTGTTTTCCTCCTCTACAAACTAGGTGCGTCTTATGGTCAGGTATGTCTTATAGAGCGAAAAATATGGTAATTCAGCTTGCTTGTCTGCTTGCCCGCCCACCCCCTTGCTTAAAAAGGGGTTTTTGTACCTTTTCCTGGTGATAAGTAGTCAGAATCTTAAATGTTCACATGCACATACACCCTCCACACCTAAAATTCCATAATAACAAGTACAATATCAAACAATTAAACCAGTGAAGTACAACAGATATGTACACATCTGTTAGCTTTTTTACTGTATTATCTATGCTAGAACTTTTTATGCAGCCCCTTTCCTCATTCTCCCCATCCTGCATAAACATCTTTGGAGATTGAGTCCTGGGTGTGGTACTACAGAAGCTCTGGAACAGAGCTGCTTCACCTGTGGCCTTTACTGCCTCTAGTGCAGCCATGGAGCTGTTGGGCCACTACCCTCTTTGCCACACAGCCCCACTGATCAGCCGGTCTGCAGGAAGGAAAAAGGCTTTACTTGTACTGCTGCTAGCTGGGGCAGCTATGCTGGGGCAGCTATCTTGTTGGGCTTCTCGAGTGATGAGAGACATTCTAAGATAGTTGCGCTATTAATGGCACAGAAGATGCAATCGCTGGCGATTTCTGGGGACTAAAGAGGTGAGAGCCTCTCTCCAACCTCTAGCAACCTCATGCAAGATCACAGTTTTTCCACCATTAGCAGTGGCTGTAAGAGGTTCCTGCTGTATAGAAGAGCTTGGGGAGGCTGCATGTCTGTGGGGGCAGCAAGAGTTTGCACATGTCTGTGAGGAGATGCTTGTGAGGTCAGTATATGCTGTGTGCATTTGTGTATCTGTGTGCATGTGTATAGCTCCTGGCCTTTCATCTGATATGGGATGTGTACCTTGGGGGTAAAGAAGTTGCCCCCTCTGAATAGAAAAACTTTTCCATGCTTAAAATGTTTGCAGTCTTGTTTCCATAATCGCTCATGTCCACTCTCACTGTCTGGAAAAAACACCACAGAAAGTTGGGGGTGACTTTATTTGCTGAAAACAACCATTTGGCCGGTGGATTGAGTTTCAGAAAACAAGCCCTAAAGCATTTGAAAAGACACTTCTGAAGCATTCCTATTACTGGAACACATAATTATAATTGGTGATGGAACGAAAGCACTGAATCATTAAAGTACGCACACATTCATTCAGATGTACCAGGCACATAGCAAATGAGATACATTTGTGGGATACAGATTCTTTCAAAGATATGCCAAGCTATTTTTTTAATGTTTGAAGTTGCATTTGGAGAAGTGCAGAATGGATTCCGAAACCAACTATCTAGCCTTTTTGTTCTGTATCATCTCAGGGCTTCTGGGAACACATAAGAACAGACTGAAGAGGAACCACTGCCATATTTCTACCTGCCTGTTTTTTCTTGCAAGGAACTGAAGGCAGCTTACATGATTCTCTTCCTTTACGTGTTATCCTCACAACAATCCTGTGAAGTGGATTAGGTTGAGAGCCACAGATTGGCCCAAAGTCACCCAGTGACCTTCATCCAGTGATCCAGCAGGAACTAGAACCTGGATGTCCCAAACCCTAGTCCAGCACACTAGCCACTATACCACACTGGCTTTCACACTGTTAAGCCCCTGTCTTCTATTCTGATGCCTTAGCGGTTTGCCCGAAGAATGCAGTGAGGCAGGTAGGCCTCACAAAATGGAGGCCATGAAGCGAACTGGGCAAAAATGCCTAGAAAAATAATGTATTGGCAACCTCCTGTGGACTAATTTATCTCAGCACATAACCTGGGATTAAAAGTATTACGCTAAAATTCCTCATGTTTTTGATAGGATGCACACTCAAAGTACTGATGGGTGACTTGAGACACTCCAGATATTTTGGCCTACAACTCCAACGAATATTCACTATGCTGGTTATGGTTGATGGGAGTTTTACATGAAAATGCCTGGAAGAACACAAGTTGTTCACAGGAGTAGCCCTAAAGTGTTTTGTTTTTTGTTTTTTACTGTGCAGTGGACTATCCAAACCACCTAGACAGGTTCTGAAATGTAGGTATGGATCTTCATTTATTTTTCTTTGTGCACTTAAAGTAGTTCACTGTTATAAGTTGATGAGATTGCAAGAAGTAATAGGTTCTTGTTATGCCTCTGGCCTACCTTGCACTGACAGTTTTCACAACTTGGACATGTCTGTCAATTGGAAACCCTTCTCTAATCTTGCAGTTGAAATGGAAGATTTATCTGATATGAGTGCCTTTGAACTGGATGTCATGGTTTTGAAATTACAAAATTAAAACCTATTTTCTCTTAGAATTTTTTAAACTAAAGGTTAGCTAAAAACTAAACAGTTAAATAGTATTTCCCTTGTCCTTTGTTCTCACTGAAAAACTATTGATGCTTATTCTATTAATTCAGTTTGACTTGTAGATTTTGTTCTTATTAGTGCAAAGCTCACCTTAGCTTTGTTCTCCATTTAAGATGTCTGAGTTAAGAACAATCTCTACTTAGAAACTTGGAAGTCCTGCCTCATCCTTGAGTGGCAAGTGGGTGCCAATGGGAGGCAGGCAGCAAGTGCTGGACAGTGAGGAGAGGAAGGAAGGGAAGGATAGGAAGGAGGGGAAAAGCCACGAGTGGAGCAGTCGGAATTAGTTCTGTGGCAGCAGCAAAACTTCAGTAGTGTATTCAAGCCAGTGTGTTTTGGATCATGTGGAGTTAGCATTGCCTTCTGTAACTTTGTACTGTATTTGGTTTGTAACCATGCACTGATGTCCAACCCCAGTCCCTTCTTCTTCATCATCCAGTTAATGTTAGGGTTAATGTTAGCTCAGGAAGGGTTAACATTTAATCATCTTTGCACTATTTTTATCTAAACTTTTGAGAACTGTACTGTGTACCTATACATGTACATACAGATTCTCTCCCTCCCCCATGTGTAGTAACTTTATTATCATTATTAAAATACTGCATTGTGTTTAAGATGGTTTAGTGCATATGGAAGTGTTTCTTAAGTGTTTTATATGCTTTTTATATATTGATCTGACTTACATACAGATTTAGCTTAAAGATGATTCCAGGAATGGACCTTGTTCTAATCTAGGGACTGGGTGTATACATTTTCTTTAATGCTACCAGTTGTTATTCTTAAAGAAGTGCCCGTGCATTTATTTTTCAACTACTTTACATGGACTGTATTGAGTGCATGTAAAGTAGTGTGAATGCTGCTGATGATGGAAAAGTAACAAGAAGAGGTATTTTGCTGTAGCAAATACTGAATTGCCTGTTTCACAGTCTCAGCAGGCTATGTTACAATCCTTAACACCCACTTAGTTGCAAGTAAGACCTAGTGGGACTTACTTCCAAGTGAACATGAATAGGAACAGACTGTAAATTGAAAAGAAATATGTTCTGCATATGTTCCACATACGTTGCACCATGTATTTGGTGCATGGGGTTTGCATGTGTGTGTGTTTTTCTTTGTAGTGACCCCACTAATAACATTATATGCCTCTTCCAGTCTTGACACCTCTGGAATCCAAATTGGACAAACATTGTGGAAGCTTCAGCCCTAAAATCTTACAAAAACCAGGTACAGTATTTATTGTTAGGGTTGCTTCCTGTCAAAAAGATGGCAGGAAATTTTGCAGAGACCTTTTAACCTGAGATGCAGGAAGTGTCGTCTATATAAAAAATGCAAGAGTTACACTGTACCCAGAAAGTTGCTCTAAAATTATACAATGATAGACCATACCTCAAGCCTTCATTTGGGAGCAGTTTTGTTTCTTTGTGTGCAAGTCGTCAGAATACCGAGTGCCAATCAGCTATGGTCCTGGGCATTTTTTCAAATTAATACTGCAAGTAACATTTCACACAATGGGTTCTGCACTTTATCTCATTCACCATGTATGATTTGGAGTTCATTCACCATGGACAATTAAGGATTGGATTTTGTACCCCCAGAGCTTGCTTTTTCTGACAATATCCATTGAACTGGGAATGCAAATAGTTGACCAAGGAACAGATTACTTGTTTATTATGTGATTTATTTGCTTGGGAAGAAGGAATAAAGACATCATGTTTGTTTCAGTGGCTAGTTACAGAATGAAAGACTTAGCAGTACACGTGCATGTTGGGAAGCACGTGATATCAGAATTGTACTGAAGATGCAGAGAAAGATCTGTTAGTTACTAGATGCGGACCATCAGAGAACCTGATGTACCCGGCCTTGAGTTTCTTCAAGGAAGAAAGGTGAGACCTCACTGAAATTTGAGCAAAGGAGAGAGGGAGGCTGTATTTTGAATTTTGCAATGAACTGCTTGATGAGCCAAGCGATGGTAAAATACTTGGGACTGCTTCAGTCTAAAAAGCCAAGGAGGTAATCTCTTTCAACACACAGAAGGTGTGAATAGCAATATTACCAAAACTACCACTGTGTGCTAATGATGGCTAGTATGGAAGTTTTGTCTAATGTAACTGCTGACTGTTTACCATCACAATCATGTGATTAAGTCATCCTATGGAGTTTCGATCCTCAGTTGACTTGGGATGCACATGCATCCCTGTTTGCCTCATACATGCCTTGGGGACTATGGAGAAATGAACATGGAAGTTGTGCATTTTTTGTAATGGATGACCAGTCAATTTAAAATTGCAAACGTGGCCTCTGAATCAGAAGGAACAAATCCCTGATGCAGAAAGCTTTTGACATTTTATCATCCACAAATGGACGTGGAAGGAAATGGTTAGCTGTCTGTCCATGCAATCTGTAGGGAGGCCTACCTTACAGTCTGAGAATTGTAGGTTAGAGTAATAATGGTATATTACAAATTCATAATCAGTTGAGTGTGATATTATCTTAATGTAAATTACCTCTGGACAAACTGGTTTGGCAGACAGAAGACAAGTGAAATCTTTTACCCATTTGTAGACCTGAATTTAATTAGCTTAAAATAATGTGCTAAAGGTTCCTAGACTTGGAAATACATTCTTTCTCCTCAACTATGTAATTGGTATAAAACTTTAGCTCATTATTCTGGTTTATAATTCTACCAGCTGGATAGAAAGTGCTAGTCCAGCCTTAGTTTATCTCTATTTTACTGGCCAGTTGTTCTAAGCAGGTTGTACAGTGAAGGAACAGAGGCAGTCATACAGCAAAGGCAGGAAGACAAACAGATGTGAACAGCAGTCATAAACAGCCCATCAGGTGTGTTCTGTGCTCCATTCTTCTGCCCAGGATGGTAGGCCCTGGTCCTCTTCCAGCAGGTACATACACATACTCAGTAACATGATGGAACACATCACAGAAGTGCCTTGACAAGTTTTGTGGTTTAGTCAACTTCTGTCCCAGATAGACCACTCTCTACTTCACACTGCTTTTTTATCTTTTCATAATAGCTTCTAATGCTCAAGCATTTGGGAATAGGGTTCTGATACTTGAACAAATCACACTTCTGAAAAGAAAGTCTCCTGCATGCATATGTCTTCCCACATGCTGTTTGTGACACAGCCCTGCAACAACTAAACTCAAAAATCATTTAAACTCAGAAAAGGAGATAGTCACAAAGGGGTGGGAGCAATAGATTTTCTTGTCTTTTCCATTTTAAGATTTGGCCATTTATTCAGTTAGCGGTACAAACCCAGAAGCACAACATCATGCCTTAAAAATTGTATCACAAAGAAACCACAAAGCAGAGGTCCCCAACCTTTTTGATGTGGTGAGCAACTGAGAATTTTGAGAAACTGTTGAGGCTACTCTCTCAAAATAGCCATCATGAGCAGGCTTGTCCATTCATAAAATGCCCTCCATTATAGGTATGAGCAGTCACCAAGCATGCATTTCTCAGAAAGCAAGCTGGAGACACTAAAAGAAAGCAATTTGGTCACAAACTTAAGCAAGGCAGAGGCAGACTCTGATGTCCAAGCGAAATAATACTCTTTGAAAACCAAATAAAGATGGCACTGGAGGGCAGCACTTCACTTGCAGCACGCAAACCTCCTAGTTAAAAATACAAATAACATCTTTAAAAATAAAACACAATTCACGAGTGGAGAGGGCCTGATGCATCTGCAGGTACAATGGTTTCCAGCTCCAAACAGAGGCAATTTCTTGGGTGAAATACCTTTCATTTAAAATAGATGTGAATCAGAACATTTAGGAAGACTTTGTAAGGCACATACGATCTTTCAACAAATTAATGTGTGGTTGACTCTATAGTAGGAAAGCGTTCAAACAAAAATCATTTTTGTTTGTAATTTACAAAAGTGGTAAATTTGTCCATGATTCACTTTGCAGGTGCAGTTAGATTCAGTTAAATAAACCACTGCTTTAAATAATCACTCAAGTGAAACATAGCAGTTAAAATAGCATTTAAATATTTGCTTTCCTTTTTAACTTGTCCATTTCTATCCCCCTTCTTACTTTCTTTTCCCCCACATCCCTTTTTATATTAATGCCAAATATGCCAGGAAAGGACAAAGGAATATCTTTGGCATTTGAAAGATGAAACATTATCCAGTCTAAAACTATAGACACTCTAAAAAAATCTGTAAATTATTTAGGCTTGTCTAAATAACATTAGGTTCTGTATACCATGTTCTGTATACCATGAAGTCCTGCTGTATCATCTCTGCACACTCTGTGAAATAAGCAAATGAGTTAAACTTTTCTTTATCATTGGACCCAAAGGGCCATTTTAAGGCCTTGGTTACCTGTTTTTAGGAGATGGCACTTCTTAATTTTATCAGTTCTTCTTCTGGTTCAGTAATGGCTAAAGTGTGCTTGGACCTGAGAAATTCAGGTTCAGATCTTTGCTGCTGTGAAGGTCAGCAAGTTGCCTTAGGCAAGGCACCATTATACAGGGAATTATTGTGAGGTACAAATGCTGCTCCTAGGCTGTTTGGAGGAAGGCTAAGATACAGATACGACAAATAAGGTAGCAAGTTACACCAGGGATGTCTGACACTTCAAATTACAATACTTATAGGAGAGTGGAATTTTGGTAGGGGCCAAGTTGTGAGAAGACAATTCCTCCATGAATAAATGCATTACACTCTTATAAATCGAAGAGATAAAATTGCTTAAAAGAATAGACTATAAAATACATCCTCCTTCTATACTTCTTTAGCTGACATGATTAGCTATTAATAGCAGACTGATCAAATAATATTGTGGAAGCTTATCCATGTTGTGTTCTGCCTGATTGCGGTTAGCTTATCCTTTTGTCCCTTTACTTCAGTAGTGAGAGTTATGCAGCGCATTAGTCTTTTAAATTCAGAGCACCCTGATGGAAAAGAGAAAACATGGGGTGAAATGCCATGGATCACCAAAGAAGTCAAATCTAGCTTCTAAGTAAACTAAATTAGATTCTTTCAATATTTCATAGCAGCTTTCTACTCTTGTTTATAAATAGCTTTTCTGGTTAGCCCTACAGACTGTGGTCCATGGTGGCTGGGGGTGGGGGGTGTTAGGGGCAAAAATGGAGCTAAGCCTCCCAAATGTTCCCACCCTTATTCAGACCCACTTCCTGAAATCTAAATGACTAAGGAATGAGAATAGTAGGAAAAATCGGAAACAGCTTATAGGAGGCGATTCTGTAACAAAAGTACGTTTAAGACAATGTTGTTATTAATTATAACTATAAAATAATAACCTTTACGAGCAGCGAAGTTATGCATGACTGAAAGGAATAGAATAGATGTAACATTAGTTGGCATGCCTGGGCAAAGCTGTGTTAGGATGGCAGTGTGTCAAAGCACTTCTCTCTCTAACGCTTTTGTATATAACAGCTGCAGCCCTGCCATCTTGACATCATGCAGTGGTAACTTGTGCCATTTTCCCCAGGAAAGCCTTCCTCCTGAAGTGGTTGGTTGTCCCGTTAGTGACAACATGCGGAAATTAGGCCTGACACAAGCTCTCTCGCCACCTGAATCAGGGTGAAAACATGTTCTGCCAACTCTGTATCCTGGCCCTTGCTGCCACTGCAGCACATGCCTCTTTCCTGGCACACCTTTCCCTTCTCTTCATCTGGCCTTGTGGTTCTCCATGGAGACGTCGCAGTGGCAGCAAAAGAAAGGGGACAAATGAGCACTGGTACCTGCTGAGAGAGTCCTGCTAGCCATTTTCTCGCCGTGACAAATGTCACAGTGGGAGAAGGCTGCAGAGGTTTACAGAGCACCACTTTGAGGAGGAGAGGCATTGGTGATGGGCCCTGCTTGTGGAACTGGGGAAGTGATGCAGTTTGCCACTGCTCTTATACGTCTGTCTGATGTGGGCCCCGCACCCTGCTTCATGGCAGAGTTGGCCTTGATAAGCATGTTGTTGTAACTAATTCTCACATGGGGTTGGAAGGAAGAGCTTGTTCAAGAACAATAACTACTTACATAGACAGCCCAACTATTTTATTTTATTATTTTATTTTCATCCCACCTTTAGTCTTTCAAGAAACTCAAGACAGTTTACATAATTGCCCTCCTGCTCTCAGTTGTAACTTCACAACAACCCTGTGAGGTAGGTTAGGATTAGAATCAGTGTCTGACCCAGAGTGACCCAGTGAGATTTGTAGTGGAGTGGAGACTAGAACTGTGATCTCCTATATCCCAGGCCAACACTTTAACCACCCCATTACACCAGCTGTCCTATATGCTGTAGTTTACCACTGGAGTCCTGCTTTAAAAGGTGATAGCAAGGTTTGTGCATGAGCATACTAACCTATGGAAGGAGGTGGGGGAGGCATTGTGAATCATACAGATTAAGGTTAAAAGGAAGCTTTTTCTACCCACTCCCATCCACCACAGTGTATGTTCACCAATGGAAAAGACTTGTCAGAAAAGCAAAAAATATATCCTGTGGTTGTATATGTATGTTCTTCAGTGTTTCACAATGGCATTGCCCACTACCCTTTACAAAGTTGGAGGAGGTTCTGTCCTGCTTAACATAATTTCCCTGTAGCCTATCAGGACAGTCTGTTATCACAGGGCAAGTAAATTAATACAACTAGTAAAAACAATTTTGTGACATCGATTTGCCCTTTTCACTGCTCTTCATACAGGTGCTGGTGGCTCTGTGCATACTCTGCGGTTGTTGCTGTGCAGCTGGAAATTACGTGGGAGACTGTTGGCTTCCTCTGAGACAGTTACAGGTGGCCAGATGTGGGTGGGGTGAAAGGAGGAAAAGCTGTGGGAGAGGTACAACACCCACATCCTTTGGCATACACTGTAAGAGCTGCTACTGTTTGTTGGCATATGCTTTACGCTAGAACGAGTTTGATTTGTACTTTTTCTTTCACGGTTAAGTGTTTTGGTTATGACTGAGCTTTTGGTTTAAATATGCCCTTCCTGAGTTAGCACAATATTGCTAAAGTTCTCTTTCAATAAAATTTTAGCTTGGCCTTTTATATGGTTGTGCGGGGTTTTAGGCATTGCTTTTCATGTTTTGCTAATGTTTTAATGTTGACTATGCTTTTATGCTCTGAAATTTTTGAAAACCAGTGTGATTGGTTGATTTAGAAGAATAATCAGTGTTGATTTTGTACAGTGTAGTGGATAGATTTCAGGCAGGGAGACGTGATTGAGATACAAAAGAACCAAGGGAAGTCACTTCTGGTTCCAGAAACTGGGTATCTTGACCTTTGCTCTTTATCCCCTACCTGGAAATGCTTAAAATGCTGTGTCAGAAAAATAATATTTAAAGGAAGGCTGAGGCTGGACTCTGCACTGGGCCTCAATCCAGCCTTCAGCTGGCAGGCATGTTTATGCAAAACAGGGATACCCCATGTGCAGTGTCTCAAGTCCTGTGGATGAAAGTGGGGTAGATGAATGATTGCGGCGGGAGCTACTGCACACATGTCCTGTTTGTAGTTGATGTGAAGAGAAAGCTGGACTAGATGGGCATTTATTTTCATGCAGTATGACTCTTCCTATGCTGTTACTTGAATTTGTGGGGTGCTGTTGTTTTTTTCACTTTGTATTGATGGTGGAGGAAGTGTATTTGACATCCTTTGCTCCTCATGTTTCCATTTCTACTGTTGAAGCTCAGCTAATTAAAATCTGTTTCTTGGTACAGTTTAAATTGATGTTGAATCAGTGATTAATAATAATTTGAAGGCACGCATATTGGTAGAACAAATCAAGAATAAGTATAAAAATGAAAATACATGCAGAGTAGGTGGATAGTACTGTAATTTGTTTATTTCCTCTCTACACTTTGTGTGAAATGGATGCCTGACACTGCATAAGGCTTCACAAAGAGCAGCTGTAAAAAAGAAGTAAAATAAGCAGACTGTGTACCGGAAATAATCTTAATATGCCAATAAATATGAGAGACTGGGTGGGGTGAACAGCATCTTGTTCTTTGAAGGCAAAAGTCTAAAAACCCTTGAACAGAAGTAGGTTTTCTAAATAATTTGGGTACTTTTCCCAGCTCAGAATGGCTTGCATTCTATATAGCTTGGAAAGTGCACAAATAAGTTTGGTTTTAGTTTTCTGCATTCACCTTAAAATTGGACAGGCAGAAGCAAATTAGTGGGCAGTTGTGTCGTTTCAGAGACCTGCCCATTTTGCTGTAATTATATAGTACTCTTCCTGCTGAGATCCTCCAGTTTGGATGACCACATCTCTATTAGCCTGGATACGGTTCTGCTTCATACTGTCTGAAGTCCTTTCGCAGCAGCATTTCTTCCAGTAAGTGGGAGGATGCTTGGGTTCCTGTCCCCCTTTACTCAGAATAGGTACTATAATATGTAGGAAGTTTGCCATTAGAACCTGCAGGAGAATATTGCAGTTTATCTCTAACGCATGAGAAGAGTTCTATTATTATGTCTCCAGGAAACCTGAAACAGAAGCTTTGAATGGTCTTTCTGTAGAGTTAGCTGTTGTCAGCATCCGGTAACCTTGCAAATTCTTGTATGGAAATTTTGGGATTACTTTTTAAAAATGATTTAGGTTACAGTTATTCATACTTTTCCATATTTAGGAAATCCACAGCATATGCATGAACAAGGACCTTGTTTTTGAGTGGCCCTATTTTTCTTCCAAGTCTAAGCCAGTTTGGTAGAGAGGACAAATCTCTCAGGTTTATTATTATTTTTACTCAAATACAAAGAAAAAGATACATTGAATTTAATATAATTATTGATGGAAGGTAGAATGTTTAATGTATTTTTCCCCTTTACCTTACAGACAGAAATATTGGTAGAATCCCTTAGCTCCTTGGAGACTTTCTTAATGGAACTTCATATTAAATTATATTTAAGGAAGGGACATGCTGGTATTTACAGGATTTGTTTATGTCTTAACATGCCTAAGATTTTATCATTAGCCTCTTTTCCATAATCAACTCTAATTTTTTTGCACGAGTTCTTATTTTTTCCACACTAAGTTCATTCTCGTCATGTTTCTGCATAAGTTTGCAACTTTTATTAAATGCCAGTGCCAAAAATGTGTACATATTTTGTGTGCATTTCTCCTAAATTGTGGATTTTTGCGTGCACTTTTCTTAATATAAGTATTTTGTCAGCAATTTCCCACAATACCTGTCTTTTCCACTAATATATTAGGGAACCTTGGCTTTTGTGTGGTATAAACATGAAACAAACAAACAAACAGAGTTTTGTGCACAGTCTACCTGTTATGTACATTGTTTCTGTGCAGTTTTGACTCACAAACTACCTCACAACATTGAGCTAGTGTCAGTATTGTATAACTTCAGTTTAGTTTCCAAATGGGCTTGGAAAGTTTGAGTTTGGCAAGCTGGTATGATAATGTGAACCCAAGAAAATTGTGCCTTATTTCTAGCTATTAGTGTTAATAAGCAACATAAATAAAGGGTCACAATTCATTATTGTTTCATAGAAAATTTATATGGAAGTAACAGATTAGAATGCACTACCAAGAATAAATCTGTCCTTTCACTGGTATACTTAGATGGCCCTCATTTTTCCATCCTCCCTTCTAAAAGCTTGCTTCCACATAAGAATTGCAAAGAAATAATTCCACCTTTGTAAACGTCCATACACAAAATATATGCAGATCCACTTGTTTTCCACATAACAGTGTCTCAGTTGGTGCATGGTATCCACCTATCCCTCCATGTTAGAACTAGACTGCTGAGAGAGAAGATTTTTTTTTGTGCATCTGAAATAGCATTCAATATATTGTCAGTGGGAAAATGAGTTTTTCTCCAGCTAGCGTATCACCTGTGATTAGTGCTGTGTTGAATGCTTCAGTGGCAATGTGACAAGTATTTCCATAGGATGGAAACAATACATTCTGGGGCAGTTTTGATGCTCTCCATAAATACATTTCAGGGTTTGCTTGGTTAAGGTCTATTGTATAATTAACACGAAGATACTTAGAAGATGGACCCATCTTGCAAAATTCAGCAATACATTGAATTGAATGTTGACCTGTGGTTTCCTGACATCCACTGCATTTAGAGAGGAAGAATTATTTTCTTTCTTTATACAGTGGTGCACAAGAAGACTTGAGAATTTTTTTCTTTCCTCTTTCATTTTTTCTTTTGAAGTAATTCATCATTTTAGTGCTAATTTTTTTATGCTGAATATTTCAAAAGATTTGATTGGAAGTGTATGTCTAGACTGAGAAACAATATGCTTCCTGTATTATCCTTCCAGAACTATACAACTGACTTACCAGTAAGCCCCTTGGACTTCCAGGTACAGTGTGCACAGGATGAAACCAGTAAGGCTGAAACAGTTGCCCTCAAAAGTCGTGTTTCCTTTCTGGTTCAGCTTGCTGTTCCGAGTAGGTAAGTTTCTGGCATTCAGAAACAAAAAACTTTGTTCTGCTTTCATTCTGTCTCCTGCCATTTAACCAGAATTTGCTTATCCTATGGATAACATATTCTTGATACAAAGACCATGACGCTGAGGTACACTAGCCGCAGCTTAGTTATGCATCCAATATTTAGCTACTTTATTTATAATGAGTTGTATTCAGTGTTAGTTTAACCTGAATCCCATTCATTCCAATAGGTCATCTCTAGTAAGATAACCTATGAAAGGAACCTAGTACAATTTCTGTTCCCCACTCCCCTCCAACGCAGATGAGCAGAAGTGGCTAACAAAAAACATTAAAAACATAAAGACACAAGAGGAGAAGGGAATAAACTGGTCATTAAAAGAACTAGCATTAAAAAGAACAAAGAGCTGAAATTAACAAATGCAGAAATTTCCAGGTTATAAACATCCAAGTTAGGGACAACTCACATTTAAAAACAAACTTCCATAAAGCATATTAATTTAAAAATATGAGTTAAAGGAAAGGGAAACCTCTGGCATTTTCTTGCTGCAACAAGGAGGCCCTGGTGAGTTTGGGCAAGGGGGAGTAGGGTAGAATTATTTTTTACGTTACACTTATTTTTCTACTTTCATGTGGGTCCCTGTACCCTCAACCCCCACAAATGTGGGGGGCTGACTATAGATGGTCCAACTTACATACAAATTTGACTTAAGGATGGATCTCCATTTTTTTAGAAACAGAACTTGTTGGTAACCCAAGGGACTGCCTATAAGAAGTTAAACAACAATAGAGCAAATGCTTCCTTTAAATCTTCAAAGAATACAAATAGAGGGAGGTGAATGAAACGATTGGGGTGGGGGTTATATGTCCATAGTGCTACCACGGAAAAGGCCCTTAAACAGCACCACCGTGTACCTCATAAGGCAAAGGCATGTATAGAAGGGCTCATTGCCTCTCCCTCACTCATTCTTTTTGCTGCTACAATAAGTGACAAACAAACCCAGTAAGTCTGCTTTTTATGTGAATTGGGCAGATATATAGATCACATCACTCTCACATCTAGTTGGCTTAGAGATGTACATATTCAAAATCTGGAATTTCAGAGATACAGTATAGATTGCGACAATATTTCCTGATGGAGAGTGAATTTCGCATGACTGTTCTACTTTTTTGGATACCTCCTTTTAGCCAATCTGAAGAAATAAGTCTCCAGGTCTTGGGTTGGGGCCAGGCCATGTGCCCACTTGTGGGCTTTAGTGGTACTGGCGGCTGCAGGCAGCTGTCCTCTAGTCAGTGTCCATTGATGTGCTGCCATTTTACTTTTTGACAATGTCGCCAAATGAAACTGGCAGCTCCCTAGTCCCAGTCACCTGGTGCTAACTGGAGAGCCCAGGGCAGGAATCAGTGGTAGGCTTTGGTCCGGACTCTGGGCTCCCAGCATTTGCCTGCAAATGTGACATGCTGATGCTGAGTCTGAATCAGAGTAATAAATGCTTCAAATACTACAGAGGGCCTTCTCACTTCCTGAACCTTTTATGGGCTGATGTGAATAGAGAAAGGTGGTTCTTAAACTTGCCCCTAAGCCATTTAGGCATTTGAAGTGTTAACCAGCATCCTGAATTACACATGAAAATGAACGAGAAGCCCAGTGCTCATGCAAGAAGGAGATCCCATGATTGGCAGCAGTCACTATTTCAGCAACAGTGTTCCACACTAGCTCAAGTTTCTGGGTGGTTTTCATGAGCAACCTGGCATGTTGCAGTAGCCTTGTCAAACTGTCATGAATGCATGTGTGGTCACGGCCAGGTCTGATGGGTGCAGCTGGGGCAACAGCCAAGCCAGATCATAAGTATTCTGAACCCAGCCAGACCCCCAAACTGTGAACCTTCTCATTCAATGGAACTGAAGCTCTGTCTGAAACATACGGTGACCATGAAACCTCAAGCAAGAAATTATCTCTCATCTATTCACTGCAGATATTTGTGGCCTTTTACAGGTGGTTGACAGATCTATGAGCAGAAAAAGAAAAATATGCCACTAGAGTACTTCCACATGTGAATGCAGAATCCCCTGTGCAAATTTGGTGGATCAGTAGGTATGTGAAACAGACGTTTGCCCAGGGAAAATATTGCCCAGACATGGCTTGTTTTTCCATCCTCCAAGATTGTATTCCAGTAAAAAATAGTGGTTTCACAAGTGAAACAACTCTGGCTCCTCACTGGAGCCCATAAAGCAGTCTCTGCAATAAAGGTGCAATGAAAGAATTAAGCAACCTGATTCCTGCACTGCATCCTTTCCAAACAGCGTGAGGACATCTTTGTGCCCGTGTGTCACCCTGTACTCTTACTTTGCATAAATGGAATGACAATTCCCCACAACGCTGGGTTGTTTTCCATTAAAATTGTTGCCTTTTTGCTGCCACTGTGGCAATTTCAGCAGCAAATGCAGCAGCAGGAGTTGGCAGGGTACGCAGTGTTGTACGCTCATGGCTGGAAATTGCTCGCCCTTGCCTTATACACATTTCTTTGCCTTTTCTTTTAAAAATAGGATTGATGACCTAGAGTGTGCCAGGAGTAAGGCCTTGATAAGAACAAGGTGTTTTTCCTGTGCAATCAGGAAAGAGTGGCTGGCCCTTCCCTGTCTTCTCCAGAAAAATGAAACCACTGCAGCGAGAAGTTGTCCCTGCTTAAATAGACTTATTTGGTAATGCACATGTCTCTGGCCTGTAAACATCAATCCCGGATGCCAGCCAGGCCATACTTTCATTCTAAAACTGGTGGTAGTGCTTCATTCCATGCCAGGCACTAGAGTGTTGTTGGCTAGGAAATCTCTGTGTAGCTAAATTGGGAATTCCTCTGGTTTACTTCTCCCAAAATAGCTCAGCAACTCAGCACTCAAGCCTTCTGACTCTTCTTCAATTCCAACTTTTTGACTGGGAAGAACTTAACCCACAGAGGTATTGGTATTTTTGGAGCATGTTGACTGAGGAGTTTTATTGTTTCTATATCTGGGACACCTCTATGTTTTGTGATGTTTTCCTTTTCAGAAATGCAGGCTGCTGAAAACATGACAGTGGATGGTTCTAATAAGCCTGTGAAATTCTCTTTAAATGTCGCTTGGTATTTAATAGGCTCAGTGGTATGATCCTAGCACTCAGTTTCATGTTACTAGCCTTTTGAGATTTATGGATTCTGTGTTCACCTTCCACCTTTAAACTGGGAGTTTGCAGTGAATGAAATGTTAATTGTGGCCAGGTACAAGGTGAGGTTTTTCACAGGGGGAGTGGAGAATGAGGAGAAACTGCTGAAGTGTTTGTGGCTCCTGTATTCCAGTAGGCTTCTCCACCCAAACTTTGAGCTAGCACCTGCCTTGACCAAGTGCAAGGGCCATTGACATGCTAAAAGTTCCTCTGAATAGGAAACAAGCATTTCCGCTCACTTCTAGGGTTACCTTTTGAACTGCTAGCTCCCCATCACACCATCAGTGTGTCCCACTGGCAGATGGGCAGACTTATGTTCTGACTACAGTGTTGGTCTCTTCCTATTTAAGCACTATTCTCAAGTATAAATTTTGGCAGTTCGTAATCTTATATAACCATTCCAAAATCCTTATTAGTATAATAACTGCATTAGGCCAACCAAATACAAATCTTAGCATTTTTCTTGTTTTGTTGTTCCAAAATCACAGATACTTCTGTTTTTCTGTTCAGCAAGTGGGGACTCTGGTATTTCCAGCTGCTAGAAATCAAAACCTACATTGTCTAAAGGAGGTTTGAAAATCTGACATAGCTGGCTGTCTATCACTTGGTGGCTCCCTTGAAACAATGTGGACCTATTTGATTTAACTTTCATGTTGACTCTTGTTGAAGGTAGTGGGGACTGAAGGAGGGTTATTTGAATCTATCAGGTTATTTGAGTCCACTCATTAAACCAAAAAACAAGCAGGATGCAGTGAACTAAGTCCCCTGTGGATGTTCTCTAATTTCCTCTCTTTACTGTAACCTAACTTCTACTTTGTGGCTTCTTCCTCTCTGCTTCTTGGTAATTTTTATGTTGCCATATGTCTCATTAACTGATCTTTAATGCTTATCCTTTTCTGTGCACCATCTCCATTGACTGTGATGACTGTGAGAGTGTTACTGGATACCTTGCCCCTTGAGCTTCCTGAGATGATTTGATAAAATTAATTGGGAAACTTTATAGAACTATTAAACATCTTGGTTCCAAAGACTTCTACATAGAAACAAACAGAACGAAACTAAAAAACAAATCAAGTTGTGCTTTCCTCAGCCCTTCTATAGGACAGTCAGTGGTTTCCATCAGTTCATTCTTTTGCATGCTCAATTAAGATACGACCTGTAACGTGTCTATCAGCTGTTCAGTTTTTCTTGTAATTTGAATAATGATTTCCTGTGGACGGCCACCCAGATTTATAACTGCCCTTCTCCTGGGGGAATAAGGGTTTTTGGTGTTAATCCTGATCTCAAACAAAAATACTTCTGGCAAAGCATTATAAATTTGCACTTGGAAATAATGCATAACTGCATTACATTGCAAGTTTACAAAAGTTATTAAGAGAAATTAGCTATCTCTATCCTGCCCAAAAGCTGAAGTTCTCTGGGTAGTTTGCAACCATTAAAACAATTTAAAATATAAAACATATATAAACATTTAAATTGTTAAAAGTACAGTATAAAATATAGAGGTAAAAATATAGTAGGACCTAGGAACAACCATACATGTTTTAAAGCAGAATGAGAGTAACATTCCTGGAAAATAAGGAGATATTCAACTGGTATCAGGAAGAATACAAGGTAGGTGCCAGGCAAGCCTTTCTGGGAAGTTAGTGACATAGCCCAGGTTCCAAACCAGTCTCTCTTCTTGGCAAGCATCCATCTCACTTCCCTTGGCAGAATGACCTCTGCAGACTACTGTTTTAACAAAAAGCAATCAGTTTGTGGAGTCATAGGTAGTGAAAAGGGAAGATTATGATAACAGATTGTGAAATCCAAAGTTGTCCTTCTGCATTTGCAAAGTGTCTTTCTACACCTTTCATGAGAAAAGCAAACATTGCTACTTACTGTACCACTCTTTTACAAGCATTGATAGAACAGCTGGTTTCCTTCCACTTGTGGTTCTTTGGATTCAAGCTCTTGTTCCTTTAACTTCCTCCTTACCCAAATAAAAGGTAACATCTGAAATGTCTGTGTAATTACAGAATTTAAAAAAAACTACAGGAAATGCACAAGTACACTTTCAAAAGTATTTAACATACAGCAGAGTAGGCAACAAGCAGGTTCCTTCCAAATACTTTGGACTACAACTTCCCACATCTGTTTCCATTGACAATGTTGGGTTGGCAGGAGTTGCGTCCGACTGACACTCTTCCCATGAAATTGCTTGAATGACAAGCTTAAACCTCATGGGTCGGTTCACAGATAATCTGAGATTTGAATTGGGGACTATCAGAACATAATTCATATAGTTAATCTAAATACTCCATCAGATTTCTCCTCCAGAAGAAATAACTTATTAGAATGATTTAGTGATTGATTTTGGTATATATGAAATAGTATAGTATAGTATGTGGTATTGTCTTCAGCCTGATTCTTGGATAACATTGAAACGTGTCAGTCTGTCTTGGCAGTCTTAAGAGCACAGATGTGAGGCTTTCCTGTGTTCTTGGAATACAAGCCAATGACTTGAAATAAATCCGTTATTCAGACACTTTTGTCTCAAAAGTAGAAGCCCCCGCAATGTATCCTGTTATGGAATAAAACTCTGAAAATCAACTTAACAAGATTAATGTCTGTAAATATTTGTAAAACCCATGAGTTCTCAACCTCCTTTAAATGAGATTATGCTACATTTATAATACTCATATCTTATAACCAATATGGTCTAACACTGAATCATTTTTATTTGATTTTGCTTGCTTGTTTAACTTCATGCTTTAAACCAGTAAGTTGCAAAATTGCATGACTGCCCACTTATCATTACTTTGAGCATAATTGCATTAAATCACTTGTTCATAGATGCAGATGGCCATGGGGGATAGAGATTTAAAGAAAACTGGTATGTTTGTAATCCATAGTATAAACTACTAGCTGAGCTTAAAACAGATTTTCAACGTGCAGCTGTGCTTGGGCTAGTGCAATATACAGTGTAATAAATGATGAAACAAATTATTAAAGTAACTTCATTGACTGAGATCCTGGAGTACTACCTGCCTAAGTTCACACACCTACTAACAGTGCTGTTTTGTAACAGAAGTCTAGCCCTTCGCTTATTGTAGGCTGCTGTCTAAACCTGGGAATTGAAAGCTGCAAATGCTTAGAGCAATCTTTCCCAACCTTGTGTCTTCCAAATGTTTAGAGAGCTTCAACAGACCCGGGTACAGTACTGAATCTGCCTTGGTCGCCCTGTACGACGACCTGTGCAGGGAGAAGGACAGGGGGAGTACATCCCTGTTGGTTCTTCTGGACCTCTTGGCGGCTTTCGATACCATCGACCATGGTATCCTTCTGGATAGACTTGCGGGATTGGGGGTTGGAGGCACTGCTTTGCAGTGGTTCCGCTCCTATCTCGACAGTCGATTCCAGAAGGTAGTGCTGGGGGACCATGTCTCTACATCATGGCAGCTATGCCATGGGGTACCACAGGGCTCCATTCTATCCCCTCTGCTATTTAACATCTATATGAAACCGCTGGGAGAGGTCATCAGGAGGTGTGGGCTGCGGAATCATCAATACTCTGATGATACCCAGCTTTACCTCTCATTCTCCACTAATCCAGGTGAGGCAGTGGCTGTGCTGAACCGGTGCTTGGCCGAGGTAAGGGAATGGATGAGGGCCAATAAACTGAAACTCAACCCAGACAAGACGGAGGTCCTGTTGGTTGGCGGATCGGGTTTCGGAGAGGGTGGCTTTGACCTGGTCCTGAATGGTGCAACACTCCCTCTTAGGGATAAGGTCCGCAGCTTAGGAGTACTCCTCGACCCGGAGCTTTCTTTGGAAGCTCAGGTGACAGCGGTAGCGAGGAACGCCTTCCTTCAGCTTCGGCTGATTAATCAGCTGCGCCCCTACCTGGAGTACGACTGCCTGGCGACGGTGACACACGCGCTGGTGACTTCCCGCCTAGACTTCTGTAACGCGCTTTACGTGGGGCTTCCCCTGAAGACAGTCCGAACACTTCAATTGGTGCAAAATAGAGCTGCCAGGTTGCTGACGGGGACGGGGCGTTATGCTCACATGACTCCAGTCCTCCATCAGCTTCACTGGCTTCCCATTGAAGCCCGGGCCCAATTCAAGGTGTTGATTATGACCTACAAAGCCCTAAACGGCTTGGGTCCTGGCTACCTGAACGAGCGCTTACGTCCGTATATGCCCGACCGCCCTTTGAGATCTGCGGGAGAGTCCCTTCTCCGGGAACCCTCCATGAAAGAAATTAGGAGAGTAAGTACCCGGAGGAGGGCTTTCTCTGCGGTGGCGCCCAACCTATGGAATTCACTCCCCAAAGAGGTCCGCCTGGCACCATCGTTACTGGTTTTTCGGCGCCAGGTAAAGACCTTTTTATTTAAACATCATTTCAATTGTTAAAACATATGATCTGGCCGGGGCAACTTCTTCTTCCTTCTCTTTCTCCTCCTATATTTTTATTTTATACTGATAATTTTAATTTTGTACTTGTAAATCAATGTATTTTTTTGTATTTTTACATTTAATGGTAATTTATTATGTACTATTGTATTTCAATGTATTTTATCATGTTGTAAGCCGCCCCGAGGTTTCGGCAAGGGGCGGCATAGAAATGTTAATAATAATAATAATAATAATAATAATAATAACAACAACAACAACAACAACAACAACAACAACAACAACAACAACAACAACTCCCATCCATCCAGTACAGCCAGATGTCAGGAATGTTGGGAGTTGTCACGCAGAGAATTGAA